GAGAAATGCCTGTTCAAGACACTTCCGCATTGCTTTTCAGGTACTTCTGTATTGTTAAGTGCCAGTGTGGATATATACTGTAGCTACTCTATGATTATAAATATCCCTTAAATTGTGTTTCTAAGTTGTCTATGGGGTGTTTTGCTCAAAGTATATAAGTATATAAGTTATTTAAGCAGGTTTTATTCAAAAAAACGTTTTGTTCCCTAACAAACTGAGTTTGTCTGTGTCTGAATTGAGCAGCTGAGTCTCTGTCTTCATGTAGATGGAATGAGTCTGGAGGGGATGGTGGTGCACAGAGCTGAATGCAGACCGGTCGTCAATGAAGACTACATGAGGCTGAAGAAGTGAGTGAACTCTGAAGTTGTTCAGCTCAGAAACGAGTTATGGTTGAGTCAGAATAACGGGATGTAGCAAAGAAAATGATCGATTATTGTTTAAATGATGTTCTTGTTATACTGATGATATGGACGTGCATCACGTCGGCGCTCAGCAGTAATCTAACCGCACCATGAATTACATTTAAACACTATTTTCGACATATTTTTAGGGAGATAACGTCATAAAATATGACATTTGAAGCTTCCCACATGTAGTCGGATACTCATATTTTGTTTTTGTTTTTTAGTATTACGATTAATGTCGCAGCACTTCACAACCTGGACGTCACAAAATGTGTTCAAGTGTTGTGCATTAATTCCAAGAGGAGTGGAGAAGTTTGACATGTTCATTTGTGTAAACTAAACACTCGAGTCCACTCTGCCTTTTTGTTGAAATGGTTTCTGTCTCCTCTTCATCACAATCCGTTATTCCAGCGAGTCAGTGCATGGCATTGCTATAGCAACAACATCACTGTGGCAGATGCACTGCCACAATACAACCCAAAGAAATCACACAACACGGTCTCCTTCAGTGTGTGTGTGTGTGTGTGTGTGTGTGTGTGTGTGTGTGTGTGTGTGCGCGCGCGCCGGTTTCTGTGCCGGTCATCTGGCTGGGATTCTCTTAGACGTCACACGAAGGTACTGCGGTGTAGAGTAGAGCTCACACTAAACTGTGTCCAATTGTATTTGTATTGACAAGGAACGTTTTTACTTTTCACTCAAGTTTTTTTGAAATCTCCCATTTGGGTGGCAGCTGACAAATGTCCCTCCATCATGGCAGACTACGGGATATGCAGGACATCGTGTTGTCAGGGCGTCTGTGTTTGTGGACACAATTCAAGAAAACTGTTTCAGTAGTAAAGTGATTTTATATAGCACTTACCACATAAATGTGCATATTATAGAGGAAAAACACAAAAAAATCAATTTTAAATGCTTTAAGACACATAATTCAAATCATTTTTGACATTTAGGTAAGTTATATTTGTGTATATTTCTCCTCTGATTGTCACTATTGTCATTAAAATAGTCCCTAATGCTTAAACATGCTTCACCAATGTCTTCACTGGCATGTCGGTCAATGGTTCATATTTGTTTATGAATACATCAGACAGTTGCAGCGCTTTGTGTTTTAATATTTCTTCCTTTTCTGTTTGTGTGGCCGTCAGTTTAAATGAAATGGGTCCAATGACCAGCCGAGTGGAGATGAAAAAATAGAAAGCAGAGCAGCTGCCATCACTTATTTAGTTAGTTTGTCCTCACGGGGCTGACGGTTGTCTCCTTGCTAACAGGCACATCTGTCAGCACAGATCAAGTTGGACCACAGAACTCACAAAGCAAACTTTTATCTCCCCCTGTGTGTGTGTGTGTGTGTGTGTGTGTGTGTGTGTGTGTGTGTGTGTGTGTGTGTGTGTGTGTGTGTGTGTGTGTGTGTGTGTGTGTGTGTGTGTGTGTGTGTGTGTGTGTGTGTGT